CAAGGTAGTGGCGCCACACACGTGCACTAACTCCACACCCCACACACAATTTGCTTACAGAGAATGTGCTGCACCACCCCCCAACCTGACCTAAGGTGAGGGGCCCTGGTTAAACTATTCCATTTTCCCAACAATCCACCCCTTCGGGGTCCTTCATCGTACAATCTACATGTCAGAATCTTCCATGATGTTCCTTAGCGAGGACAGGCAACCCTTACATTCACATATTACACATTCCATCCCAGTCCCCAGTCTTTAGCTTGTTGCAGCACCAACTCAGAAATCCAAAGTCTCAACTGAGACTAAAGGCAACACTCCTTTCAGCCATGAACCTTACAGAGTCAAAAACAAGTTTAGGGCCGGCCTGTGGCTCACTCGGGAGAGTGCGGTGCTGATAACACCAAGGCCATGGGTTCAGATCCCACATAGGGATGGCCGGTTAGCTCACTGGGTGAGCGTGGTGCTGACAACACCAAGTCAAGAGTTAAGATCCTCTTACCGGTCATCTTTAAAAAAAAAACAAAAACAAAAAAAACAAGTTTATCTACTTCCAAGATACAGTGGGCAGACATTGGATACACATTCCCATTCCAGAGGGGAGGAGTAGAAAGGAAAAACAGGCCCCAAACAAATCCAAAACCCAAACAGGGCAAACATTAAGCACACTGGGGCACCTGGACCCCTAAAGCGTTGGGCAATCTCACCCCTACGGGTCTGCCAAGTGCAGCCCATTGAGCTGCCCTGGTGCCTGCCGCTTTTCCAGGCTGGCGCTGCACACTGCCAGCAGCTCCACGGTACTGGGCTCCTGGTGGCAGTCCCACCATCCAGGCTCCACTAGACATTTCCTCAATGGAGGTTCTCTGTGGGGGCTCCTGCGCCTGCAATGTCCCGGCTGCCGGCCGCTCTCCACCCTTCCGCACCTCGTTCGGAGGCCTCGAACCTGGCCACACCTCTGCTCCTTCAAGTGGCGTCCGCGTGGTCCCCGCCTGGCCCTGTGGTCACCTCGCAGCCAGCGAGGGCTTGCCGCTCCACTAGACATTTCCTCAATGGGGGTTCTCTGTGGGGGCTCCTGCGCCTGCAATGTCCCGGCTGCCGGCCGCTCTCCACCCTTCCGCACCTCGTTCGGAGGCCTCGAACCCGGCCACACCTCTGCTCCTTCAAGTGGCGTCCGCGTGGTCCCCGCCTGGCCCTGTGGTCACCACGCAGCCAGCGAGGGCTTGCCTCATGCTCCTGCTCCGAAGCCCGGGGCTCCCCGTGCGCCGACCCGGCTCCCACAGCCCGCCCCTCCGGCTCTGGGAGACGCTGCCTCCCGCGCACCTCGGTCTCTGCTGTCGTCGCCTCTTCCCCAGACCCCACCCACCCCGAGCAGCAAGGTCCTGCCTGGCCCAGGTCAGAGTGCGCTCAGGGACGGTGCCCGGACACGTGCGTGCTGCTCACTTCATCCCAAACCTCCGCGTGCGCTGAACCCGCACACCGCACACCGCATGGCTTGAAACTGCGACCCGGCTCCTTCTATGGGAATTCCTGCCGTTGCCGTCGGAATGCTTCTGTCCCCCAGGTCCCTACAGAATCCCTTTCTGGCTGAAGGCTTCCCGGCAGTTCCTGCAGGAAGACCCTCCTCTCTTTAGGTCCGGGCGCCGCCAGCCTCCTCCTCTCCTCTGTGCCTGGCCTTTGCACCGGCTGCAGGTCAGGGGTCTCGGAGGCAGACCGCCCCAAACCCAGGCCTGCCTTCGCCACGTCTAGCTGATGCTTTAGGTAAATTACCTAGCTTCTCTGCCCCTCAGTTTCCTCCTCTGCACAATGGAGAGAATGTCTGGAGTCACCTGACAGGGCTATTGTGGCAGTTGGGGTCCCTCAAGGCGGGAAGAGAACCTCAGGACCGAGATGAGTAAGGTGTGTACCGGAGAGCGGTTCTGGACCCTGTGAGAGGCAAGGAACAGAGCAGGAGGGGCTCTGACGCAATGTCCACCGGCCTCCCGCAGGGATCTCAGCCACAGAAATGACCCTTCAGGGTTGTCTTTAGTTGGGCCACAATGGCCAGGACTTTAGATATGGGCCACATGGGGAAGGTTGTGACCTTGCAAGTTGCAGTTGAGGCACCCCCCAGGAGTAGCTGACAGCTGAAGTCCACTGACTGCTGATCACACGCCCAGCAGCTGGGACACTGAGCCTGTCACTGGAGGGGATCGGTCTGGGCTGCCCGTTAGTGTCCCCCAGAGTTCTGGGGCCCTCAGGGGCCAGGCATTGCGCTGGACACTTGAAGGAGAAGGGTCCCCGATCTCTGGAGCTGACACCGTGCTGGTGGAGACAGTCAATCTCAAGCAAGTGCACTCGGAAAGGATTAAGTGCCAAGGTCCAACTACAAGTCAGCTGATGTCATGCCTAAAGGGGCAGCTGTCAGGCACCAGCTGTGACAACCTGCTCAAGTGGAGGTCTCAGCTCTCTGGCCTGGAGACGAAAAGGCTGAATGATCTGTGAGCCCTCCTCACCGCCAGCACTGGACCCTCTGGGCAGGCAGCGGTAGGATTGCACCGCTGAGGTCTCTGGTCCTGGATTAAAAGCAGCCCTTCACTGCAGCGTTTGCACACGCACCCTGGAACACAGGAAGCCTTTCCAAGGGGGATTGGAGGGTCACATTACAGGACTTCCACATGGACCCCGTCCTAAATTTCCTGAGCAGCCTTGGCTGGGGATGTGTCCCGTGTCCACCATGTTCCCCTTGGCCACAGCCTCCCCTGTTTGCTTCCCATCATTTGTGCAGTTGGGTGCCCTGCCCGGGCCGGCCCTTGTTATCAAAGGAACGACTTGCTTTGTGGTTGGCTGTGAGACAGTAGATGAATTTATTGGCTGGGAAAGAGCTAATGTAGTTTTGCACTTTTGCTTCCAGCAAAATTAAAAAAGGACTTAATCAAGTGGTCAGCTGACAGATCATTTAGGAGTACACTTGATAACAAATTGCTGTGCGTTCTTTTGCATATAACTCAGAAGCTCATAGATTGTGTCATATTTTAAACTTAAAAAATTTTTGTTTTTGAGGGGCTGGCCCGTGGCTCACTCGGTAGAGTGCGGTGCTGATAACACCAAGGCCACGGGTTCGGATCCTATATAGGGATGGCCGGTTTGCTCACTGGCTGAGCGTGGTGCTGACAACACCAAGCCAAGGGTTGAGATCCCCTTACCAGTCATCTTTAAAAAAAAAAAAAAAAAATTTTTGTTTTTGTTGAGTGTCATTGCTCTATCAAAATTCCTCTTGATCCCATCTATTAATTCATGTAAACAAGTTTTCTCAATGCTTTCAGAAAAACAGAAACAAAAACAGGAATGTAATTATTTAGAACCCTGACTCATTCTAGCAATAAGTAATATTCACAAAGAATAAATGAATCATAAAAAGAACCAAATAAAGGGCCGGCCTGGTGGCACACCGGAGAGTGCGCCGCTTGGGAGCGCCTCTGGTGCTCCCACCGAGGGTTCAGATCCCATGTGGAGACCGGTTCCCGCTCACTGGCTGAGCGTGGTGTGGGCGCAACACTGAGGGTTGCGATCCCGTTACCGGTCAGTAAAAAAAGACAAAAAAAAAAGGAAAAAAAAAAAAAAACAAATAAAGAAAATATAATAAATGAACCTTATTTGGAAAAAACAGCCTTATACATTTCATTATGATATGAAAATTTTGCTATATATGTTTCATAATAGTTATAAAATTTATAATTTCATTAAAATTTGCAATATATAGTATTGCTTTGTGTAGTAGGAACAATTGTCATAATTCAGAAGGAAAGGGTTTTTCTATTTTAACATTTAGAAGCTTATGATCACGAAGAATAAATATATATATACATTTTATTGCTAATAAGTATGATAGAATTAGCGTAAAACATATTACATTAGGATACAATTCTGTGAGGAAAGAGGAATGGAAATACAAATTCACAGACGGGTAGATCTTTAAAATTTTTTCCAGATGTTAAAGGAAGGCTTAGTCATATATTTTTAAAGAGATGACATGTATTAAGTCACTACGGCATTTAGAGTCCCCTGGGTACATTTTCAGGAGTGTCAAAGCTAAAACCAGACATTAGTGAAAACGTTAAAAAAAATTCGGCAACTACTGCCAGCGGGGGAAAGAGCTGAGCTCCGTCCCCTTCGTGCAGAGGTGACGGCGTGGGAGAGGGAGAGTGACAGAGGGGGCGGCCTTAAGTGAGACATAACAAAGGGTTGGTCAGTGGAAATGCCATTGGGCTGCTGCCACCAGGTTAGTGCTCTACCTTCCCTCCTGACTGGGGACATTTCAAAGCAATTGCTCTCAGGTGCTGAGAGAGAGACTCCTGGTTGTAGGACATACACATAATTGTCAGCCCCTTTTAGTAAGTGCTCTAGGAAAGGGACCTACAACTGACAGTCACGTCTGGCTGGGGTCGTCCTAGGGACGCGGCCTCCCGCTGCCGGGTCACCTGTGAGCGCGGGGCCGGGCCGGGGTCACAATGGTGTGGTTTGTGTTTGAATGCCTGCATGTGCAGGTCGCGTGGACCCTCTGCACCTGTTTCAGCTTTAGGTGGAAAGCTCGCGCGGGGGCGTGCAGCGTTCCCACGCTGTTTTCGGGGTGCCGAGCAGCCCAGGTTTGAAGACCGTCCCGCTGTTCATTTGCCCGGGGTCCCCTCCTCCTTGTGGGCTGCGGTCGGGCCTCGCGTTCAGTCCCAGAGCCGGGCGTCCGAGCTGTTGCCCCTGCCTCATTCCCCGCTGAGCGAACGCCCAGCCCTTCCTGCATCCTCGTCCTCGTCCTCGTCCCCGCCAGGCCGCCAGGCCGGAAGTACGCACAACCGAGAGGGGCGCCCGCCCCTGCGCTCCTAGAGCGGCGCCGGAAGTTGTCCGGGTGGGGCTCGGGCGACTTCCGGCCGCGGCGTGCAGGGGCCCGTGCGGGCTTTGTCGGCCGGGCTGCAGGGCGGGCGGCCGCGGGGTGCGGGGTGCGGCTCGCAGCGTCCGGCCCGCAGCGTCTCTCTCCAGCGAGCGCGTCTCGGGCCCGAGCCTGGGGTCTTCTCCCTGAGGAGCTTCACGTGGGTAAATACCCGGTTCTTCTCCCCGTTACCCCGGCCCTTTCCCGCGTCCCAGGGTCACGCGCCCGAGTTCTAGAGCCTCTGGCGTAAGTGTCCGTGTCGCAGTTGTCAGGCTCCCGAGGTCGGCTGCCCCAGACGCTTGTCAGGCGCGAGGGCAGTGGGTGCGGGCTTTGCTGCTGTTTGCTCCAGCCCCCCGCCCTCCCTGGGGACCTTGGGCCTTTGTGCTGGGGGAGATGCGGCAACGGCGCCTTCCGTGCTGTTGGGGTTAGACGTGGAGGGAAACGTGATGAACAGAGTCGGCTCCCATACTTGGGCCTGGAGGAGAGTTCCCAGGTGGGGGAGGTGGTTTGGCCACACTGTCCTCGCTTTTCCTGAAGGTTCCCTCTCCCCTGGAAGTCTTTACTAGTCCCGTTGGCCGTCTCTGTGCTGATGTCAGGGACGTTTTGCCCTCTTTTACACGCTGGCTGCACCATAGCCAAGGGATCCTCAGGGCCTGAGTAGCAGCCAGAGCTTTCCCAAAAGTATTAGCTGGATTCAGGTTGTTTTTTTTTTTTTTAAAGATGATCGGTAAAGGGATCTGAACCCTTGACTTGGTGGTGTCTGCACCACGCTCTCCCAAGTGAGCCACGGGCCGGCCCTTCGATTCAGGTTTTAAACTCGGTTAGTTTAAAACATCTTTTCTCTGAGATCCAGCCCCAGTGGATGAGAAATAAACGTCTTTTGCCCACCTTGGATCTGAGAAATGTCCGTCTTCCTGAGTCCTCTGGCAATACCTTGCTCCCTATGCGCAGAGATGGGACATTTGTCCCTGTTATAGATGTAACATTATAACAGTACCTTAGTACCTGTCGTAACCACAGCTTCCCTTTCATCGGAGGTACAGAGAGAAATTAGGGGGTAAGGATTGCTCTGTTTTTTTCTCAAGCCTACCCATGTGGATCCACCCTCTCTTGGAGTTACAGTGATGGATTCCTGATTCTCTTGGAAAGGTCTTGGGGATGATAAGGAGAGAGGCCAGAGCTGAGAAGGCTCAGACAACGTACATGAGCTGGAGCTGGAAGGAGGGGTAGGGAAGTAGCTGACCCAGAACTGAGTAGAGGCACAGAAGCAGTTCAAAGAACTGTCAAGCTTGTCAGTGCTGCCTTGGTGCGTAGGGACACTGGACTTGTCAGAGCCCTGAGAACAGCATGCTGGAAGCAGGAGCCACATGGCCTCAGGGGTTGGTAGAGAGGGCAGAGGAGGAGACTAGGAGCAGCAGCTGACAGGTGGCTCCACTTCTGTTTGACCTTCCTGAGCCTTACAGATGGTTGTGAGGAGAACATAAGATGAGAAATGCACCTTGCATAGTGTAGGGCACACACCAGGTACCCTGTTCCCTTCATAGCTGCTGTGGCATGTGACAGATTAATGACGATGGCAGGCACAGAGGTCCGGATCTTGGAGCTCAAGTCCGTGTCTCTCTCAGGTGAGCTCTTGCTCTCCTTTTCTTATTCCCAAGGGTGAAGCTCGGCAAACCTTCCTGCTTTCTTTCTTTAGGCCATAAGCAGCAGTGACCATGACTAACAGAACCCAAGGCTGGAATATCTCTTTACCAGTGTGTATGCAGTCGCTGAGTGTCTAGTGTCATATCAGGCACCCTGCCCCTGCCCTGACACCCCAGAGCCACTGTCACTGATGATGACATACAACATCAGCTGCGTATTTAGACAATTTCCTGTAATGTTTTATCCAGCAAATTCTGTATGTTATAACAGGTGAGGGTCCATGTTAGCCCAGTATGTTGTGGAACCAGGAGCCTGGCATACTTCCGTTTATTTATTTCATTCTAGTTTCTTTAAATGAAAAAGTATTGATTTAAATTTAGTTAAATTCACAGAAGAAAAAGGAGCTAAGCAGAAACTGAAGATTGCTGATTTGTTCAAGATATATTTGATTTTTAAAACTTCCTGTAAAGTTAAGAAAAAATGATGAAAACCATTAAGAGGCACACGTATGGTTTTAAATTATGGTCCTGTAAACAAGTGTGAGCTGGCTTCCAGGTAGTGTAATAGTCATTTTAAAAATAGAAGAAGGTTTTGGGGCCGGCCCGTGGCTCACTTGGGAGAGCATGGTGCTGACAACACCAAGTCAAGGGTTAAGATCCCCTTACCTGTCATCTTTCACAAAAAAAAATAGAAGAAGGTTTCTCTGACTCCTAAAACAAACAAGAAACCAACATCCCCACCAACCCCCTTTCCTTAATTAAGAAAAATAAGTCTTAAAATATAAGCTCACTTTGGGCCGGCCCATGGCTCACTCGGGAGAGTGCGGTGCTGATAACACCAAGGCCCCGGGTTCGGATCCCATGAAGGGATGGCCGGTTCACTCACTTGGGAGAGCGTGGTGCTGACAACACCAAGTCAAGGGTTAAAAACCCCTTACCGGTCATCTTTTAAAAAATATATATATATAAGCTCACTTTTATAATACTAGACCCCGCTGATCTCTAAGCAAAATAGCCTGTAAAAATGACATCTCACATGGGAAGGGAAAAATCTTTCATGATGGGGAAACGGCCATTGGAGGCAGATAGACCCGGACTTGAACCTTAGCTCTGCCCCTTACTGTCTTAGTGACCTTGGATAATTTACTTTCTCTCTCAGTCTTCATTTCTTGTTCTGTAAAATAGGGTAAACAGAAATAGTACCCACCTCAGGGTTTGGAGCAGTACGTGAGGTAGCGCCAACCAGTCACTCAGCGCGGTGCCTGGTGCACAGTGTGCCTCCTTTCATGAGAGCTGAACCAGCTGAGGCAGAGGAGTGAAGCTTGTGAAGAGCCTCACGTTGTTACTGGCCAGAGGCTGGGCTAGAGGACATCGGGCTTCCTCAGCTTGAACACCGGGTAGACTCTGGTGGCCACCACAGCTGGTGCTGGGCACTGCAGCCTGGCCCCCAGGGCCTGCCTGCCTAAGGCTTGGCCCAAGGAGCAGCGGAGCGGGTGCCCGAGGACGGCGCTGTCAAGAAGATGGGAGGGGCCTGGCTGCAGCACCTAGTGACCCTCCGGGGCGTTGGTGCTGTTGGCTCACTCCACCACTTTGGGGAGGAGAAAGGGCCGGACAGGAGGCCAGAGCTCATTAGAGGAAGTCCCTCCTTGTGAAGCCAAAGGCTTAGGGCCAACGTTCCCTCCAGCCCTTGCTCATAGGAGGCGCCAACTCGCTAAGTGCCATTAGCCATGAGGTGACGCCACCCAGGGAGCCAGGTGCCTCTGTGTGTGCAAACTTGAAGAACGCCAGGGTGTGGTGTGATGGAAATGTGGCAGATGAATAGGAACAGTGCAATTCCATTTTTATTTTGAAAATCATGTGAGTACATAAATGCACATGTATAACTGTATTTGTTTAAACAAAGGTCTCGATGGATGTGTATAAACTAAACAGCTAACAGAAAACTAAAGCTAACAGCGGTGATACATCAAATTACTGGGGATTTTTATTGTCTGTATTTTACATTTCTTTATCATTTGAAATATTTTTACAATGTGTATCTTATGTTTTTAACGCTAAGAATTAAAAAGATTTTATGGAAGTAAAGCAGGATATAAAACTGAATGGTGTGGTCCTGATTTCATAAAACATTGATGCAGGAAAAAGATCAGGAAGAAAAACGTTAACTGGTGGGGTTAAAGTTAATTTTATTTTTCTTTTTAAAGTTTTTCTCTGTCTCATTCTTAATAAGAAAGCATAATTTACCTTTACACATTAAAAAAAAACTAGTTATAATTTTATATACAGGACAAAGATTTTTAAACCAACCAGTGGGCCTTTAACTCAGAAAATGCTCCAGCAAACACCACTGGGAGTGATTGTAAACACCGGAGAGCATAGCACGTGCAGGGTGGCCACCACCTCAGGAAGGTGTGTCGTTATAATTTTATATACAGGACAAAGATTTTTAAACCAACCAGTGGGCCTTTAACTCAGAAAACGCTCCAGCAAACACCACTGGGAGTGATTGTAAACACTGGAGAGCATAGCACGTGCAGGGTGGCCACCACCTCAGGAAGGTGTGTCGCCAAACTCATCTTGTAAGCAGACCTCCTAGGGACAGAATGCCTCACGTAGACTTACACACACTCTGCTTCTCATTCTATTGTCAGTTATTGGTGTGTGGTTTGAATTTATCATCACAGGGAGAATTGCACCTGAATGTTTGGGTTGTATATTAGCATTTTTTAAGGCGTAGATTAAGGTTGCTGTAACAGATTCAAAATACAGTGTTTCACACAAGAAACTTGGTTTCTCGAATTCCGTCTCAGAGGCGGACGGGTGGCCCCAGGCAGGTTGGTGGCCATTCAGGGATGCTGGCTGCTCTGCCTGATTGGCACCTTGTGGGTGGGAGAGAGCATGCAGGGCATGCATACACTTCTCTCATGTCTCATTGCTGGATCTTGGTCATGTGGTCACACCTAATTTAAGGGGACTGCAGAAAATGTGGTCGTCTGCTGGGGTTTCTATCATTAAAAGGAAGAAGGGAAGCAAGGTTGCTGGGGAATCTTTAGTCTGTACCATGGTTTACCCAGCTGGCTAGCCAGGTGTCACGTGGGCCCTTTTTCCCACAAATGGGATATACTCGGTTACTGCCTCTGGCCCCAAGTCCGGGATCTCTAGGCGGTGTGTGGCCTTCTTCCTCAGGTGTCGGCACAGCATCCCACTTGTCCAGCCTCAGACACGCTGTCTCCAGCATGCATCGGTAGAGCAGGGGGACTGCAGTAAGTGCTTCCACTCAGGAAATGGAAGGAGAGGAACCCACAGCAGTTGCCGGTCCATAGGACCCAGCTGGAAGTCACAAAGGAGCCCTGAATGGGTAGCCACGAGAGTGAAGTATCCACAGGACCCAGCAGAAATGAGGACATCTGCCTACCAGAAGACAAGTACAGGAACATTTATGGCAATTTTATGCATAACAGCCCCAAACGAGAAACAGCCCAAGTGTTCGTGAGTGGGAAAGTGGAAGAGTGCATGTTGAT